GTTTACATGCTGACATTCCCCTTTGACATCACTTCCTGTTAATTCACAGGCAAAAATCTCAACAACCGTTCATCTGAGCGATGTGAAATTTGTATTGCAACATGTTATCAATGCTATCTTTACAAAAATGCATTTATGTTTATTACAAAAATTTGATGCCACGGGCCCTTTAATGCTCCTGTGCCTTCAGCAGGAGGGCAGCAGGCCGAGCAGACGATCAGGATGAAGGTGGTCTTTGAAAATCCTGTTTGCCCCTGAGATACAGCAGTTGTTGGAGATATTGTCGAGGAGGCAGCCAGTTATTTGTCAGTAGTGGTTGAGCCAGCGTACCGCACAGTGATGGCACACTCTCCATGGTGGAGGATACCAACAGCTAGTCTCCACAAGTCCCACCAGAGTAGTGTCATCTGCATATTTAATGATGGTGKTGTTGGAGCAGGAGGGGGGTTAGTCATGGGTGTAGATGGCAAACAGATGTAAACTGTACCTCTTAAATTTRAAAGCTGATTTTTGCCTTTWTGTGTTTTAATGCTGCCGTCTTTACTTTMATAACCCACTCATGCATGGGCCCAGTGGTAATTTGGGTTGTGATCATTATGTTGCTGCTTAATGAGTTYGTCCTTGTAATGAAGCCAAAGGTGACTTGATAAATGGAGTTAAGCTCARCTGTAATTACTACCTCAAACATGCAGTTTAATTAAATTAGAGATGAAAAAACATATTTTATCTGCTAAAATAAAGTCTTGTGAACTTTTTCGKTTTTTTTTTTTTTGATCCCATTAATGAAAACTCTTAACATTTCTTTTTTTTTTTATCTTTCAGAGGTAGAAATAAAAGTGCAGGTGTTTGACAACAGCGACCTGTCCCCGTTAGCGGGCGCTCAGGTGGAAGTTCAGGGAAATCAGACCCTCCTGGCGTCGAGTCGTGCTGGAAGCGACGGCGTGGTGAGAGTCAGCTTCCTGTACCGGGCCGGCACCTGGGTCATCATCACAGCCTCCAAACAGGATTACATCACCAACTCGGCRCCGTGGCACTCCAACCGGATCCCGTGTAGGTCCAGAGCTCTTCAGCCGTCACGGTTTCCTTCAAGTGTAAATGTTGATGCTATTGTGTCAGTTATTATAAAACCTCTGTTTCAGTGTACGCCTCGGTCAGCCTGTACCTCCTCGCCGAGAGGCCGGGAACCCTCATCCTGTACGATGACGTCCTGCAGGTTCTCTCTGGGTCACCAGGTGAGATCGGACTCCAAAACCTGACCGGTGTATTCGTTTTCAGCTTTAGGATTCACCARCTTTTTGTTGGTCGTTTTCAGGAGCTCGGAACCAGCCCCTGGTTCAGCTCCAGAGGAAGTTCATTCACCTGCCGTCCAGCTCCAACTACACAGCGCTGTCGGCGTCGCTAACCACGGCCCGGAGTCAGTACGAGATCGGCGGGTTCCCCTTCCTCCTAGGCCAGGAGACCAACAGCTCAGGTCTGAGTCCATCTGCCTACAAAGACACTTTAGAGGGATTATTTCATTGCATTAGAATAAAGTAAAGATCATCAATCAATCAATCAATCAATCAATCACCTTTATTTAACCAAATAGAACCCATTGAGATCAAGATCTCTTTTCCAAGGGTGACCTGGTCAAGAGGTCAGCAGCACACATCACAGGGTGGTTGACACAAACATTACATTGTAGAAAATAAAAAATAAACATAAAATACAGTAGAATTAAACAGTAAGTAATTAATAAGTAATAATCTAGGCTTTGTTAGTAGTTTCAAGACTTAATGAAATGATATTTGAGAGTTAAATTACCAAGTTTTGGTTGAGTACAGACAGAAAAACAGAAGTGACACGTACAGTAGGAAAATAGTGTTTAAGACAAACATAGGCAGCTGTCAAACTCTTATCTGTAAGGGTTGAAATGAAGGATCTCGGCGAGACGAGTTTTGCTAATTTCAGTTCAGTCTGTAATTTGTTCCAGGTTGAGGGGACGGCAAAGCTGAACACTCTTTTCCCTAGTTCAGTTCTGACATGAGGAACTGACAACAGTACTAGATTGTTGGAGCGCAGGCAACAATGAGTGTATGTTGTCTGTATTAAGGTGATAAGGTATGATGGGACTAAGTTCAGGAGGATCTTATAGATTAGAGATGTCCATTGAGTGTATCTGCGAGCAGTGACAGATGACCAGCCAGATTTGACATACAGTTCACAGTGATGAATAAGGTAATTGGAGTCTGTGATGAACCGTAGAGCACTATGGTAGATGGAGTCTAAGGACTGCAGGTATTTTGATGCTGCACTCATGTAGCACATCACCGGAGTCTAATGTTGGCATGAATGTTGCAGGTACTAATGATCTCCTAGCTTTCCATGAGAAGCAGTATTTGTTTCTGTAATAAAAACCTAGTTTCAACTCGAGCTTAGTGGCCATTTTAGTGATGTGGGCTTTGAATGACAAGTCGCAATCAAGAAACCTAGKTATTTATAAGTGGAGACCATTTCTGTTTGTTTTCCCTGTTGGGTTTCAGTTTGTAGTGGGCTTCATGTTTGCTGTCTTCTATTAGATAAAAGCATTATTTTGGTTTTGTCAGCATTTAAGACCAGTTTAAGTTTTTGMAGAYGTGACTGAATGATATTAAAAGTGTCCTGAAGAMAGKTGAAAGCTTGACTGAGGKAGGATGAACARCAGTAGATGATGGTATCATCTGCATAAAAATGGTAGGAGGCGTTTGACAAATTGCTGCACAAATCATTGATGTATACTGAGAAYAGAATGGGACCCAAAAYAGAGCCTTGTGGCACCCCTTTGACARCATCTAAGAATGTAGARGAGGATCCGGCCACATGAACCGACKGTGTTCTATCGGTCAGGTAATTGGTGAACMAAGAGACTGCCTGTTTYGATAGACCAGAGTGTTCCAGGATGTTTATCAGTAGTYTATGGTCAACTGTGTCAAACGCCTTGGACAGGTCTCTCARGATTAAACTGTATGTAATAAGTCGATGTTGTTTTCTGTTCAGGGGCAGAAACCGGATGGATGGACCTGACAGCTCTCGCTGTGGTCAGCATTCAACTCTTTGACAAAGATGGCGGCGCGATCAAGGTCTCAGAACCGATCCACATCTCTGTGCCGCTGCCGTCTGACACCCGGAACAGGATGGCCACGAGCATACCTGCCTGGCTGTATCAGCCAAAGACGGGTGAGGAAAACACATCAATCATTGATGCTGTGGAGCAGCAGAGCTGACATGAAGTTATATAACCCTCCTGAAATAGAAAGTCTAAACTATTTATGTGCTCTGAAGTTTAGTTGTATTTTAAAGCTTTACTTGTATAATAATGTAGATTATAAATATTATTTTCAGGACTGTGGGTTCGGAACGGTACAGGCTACATCAAAAAGGACGGCACRCAGTTTGTGTGGAACGTTGTGGTTCCTCAAATGGGATACTGGCTAGCTGCCTTTCCTTCGTCTTCAGGTACTCACCTTTTTATTCTCTTYTTCCTGTAATCATATTTATAAAAACAAAACTTTTTATTTTGGTACTTCTTAGAATGTTGTGACAAAAAGTCTTTTAGTTGTTGTTTTTACTTATTTCCTTTTTCTCTCAAATTAATTTTTGTCTATTTGATGCACACAGATGATGTAATTGTTAGAGCACAGCTAATAACGGGTTGCTAAATGCTAATATCAGATAAACCTAGTTCTGGACTGTGCAACCTAAAGATAACAGCTACACAGTCGTTACCAGCTACACTGCCAATCTAAGTACTACACAGTCAAGCTAACAGGTACACAGTCAAGCTAATAGKTACACAGTCAAATTAGTAGCCACACATTCAAGCTAACASATDCATAGCTAAATTAGTAGCTACACGTTCAAGCTAACATGTACACAATCAAGTTAGTAGCTACACAGTCAAGTTAGCAGCTACATAGTGAAGCTAACTATGACACTGCCACGCTAACATCTTTACAGTCAAGCTAACAGTTAAACAATCGAGCCAAAGGCTACACAGTCAAGCTAATTGCTACACGCTCAAGCTAACAGCTACAGTCATCTGAGTAGCTACATGGTCAATCTAGCAGCTATAGAGTCAAGCTAAGTACTACACTGCCAAGCTAACTGCTACACAGTCAAGCTAACAGGAACACAGTCAAGTTAGTAGCCACACATTGACGCTAACAGGTACACGTTCAAGCCAACATGTACAAAGTCAAGTTAATATCTACATAGTCAAGCTAACAGCTACACAGTTAAGCTAACAGGTACACAGTCAAGTAAGAATCCACACGTTCAAGCTAACAGATTCATAGCTAAATTAGTATCTGCATATTCAAGCTAACATGTACACAATCAAGTTACCAGCTACACAGTCAAGTTAGTAGCTACATAGCCAAGCTAACCACTACACTGCCAAGCTAACATCTTTACAGTCAAGCTAACAGTTAAACAATCAAGCCAAAGGCTACACGGTCAAGCTAATTGCTACAGTCATCTGAGTAGCTTCATGGTCAGTCTAGCAGCTATAGAGTCAAGCTAACGGCCACACAGTTAAGCTAGCAGTAAAAAGCTAATTTCCACCATYTGAACCAACTCAAACTAAAGCGTTTTAGCATTATGAGAGGACAATTTATATTTTATTGTTTGTTTTGGAAAACAGATGTTTGTGCTGTTACAGTTTGCTCAATAAAACATTGTTTGAAATGTTTTGCTAACTGCATGCACTGAGGCTAATTCACCAGGAGTTGTTTTGTCTCTCTAGCCAACTTTTTAAATTAATCTCTATCATACAGATATCTGTTTCCTTTCTCTTTCAGATAAAATTTGTGTTTTGTATCGGACAACATGACTTTCTGATTTGTAATTAATGAAATATTTTGCAGGTTTCGGTTTGTCTTATCCGGGCCTGAGGGACATCACCACCTACCACACCCTGTTCCTGCTGTCCATCCTGGGTTCACTGGCCCTGCTGGTCCTCATCCTGCTCTGTGTGCTGCTTTACTACTGCAGGTCTCACTTTTAGGTTTTCATCAACAGAAAGTTGTTTGTTTATGTGAACTGATTCTTTGGATTCTGAWCTCTGTCTGTTCTCCTTCCAGACGAAGGTGTTTGAAACCTCGCCGACATCAAGGAAAACCCCACGCGTCCAATCTAAACGGAGCTAAGAGAGACCAGGGTACGTCTACTTCACGCCTAAATCTGATCTGCGGAGGCCACGTGGAGTCGGGACCGTCCAACGACAAGTCGGACTTGTCCCCATCTCGAGACTATCAGAGTTCGAGGGAGGACTTGACGAAGCACATTCCGGCTCACAAGCTGCGACACGGAAAGGGAAAAAATGCGTCCAGTTCCCAGCGGGGGGAGAGCTTCCCCATGAAGGTGACACGAGCCACGGAGACCAACAACCTGGACAACCCCTTACTGCACGAAGACTACAGCCGCAGCTACAGCCCCAAAGAGGGCAAAGAGTCCGAGTATCACAGACATCACAACGCCAACGACAATCGAGGATACGCGTCCGATCCGCCGTCCCCGCCTCGCTTTCAGGGCTACGTGCCGAGTCAGTCGGACAAACCTCCGGAGTACTCGGCCGCRGCAGCAGACAGCCTCGCCAGACCCACCTCCCTCAACACCCAGCCGGGTCAGATCATCTTCTGCAGCTCCATCGACCAGATGAAGGAGAACATGTACCGGAGCATGGTGCCGACCTTGGTCATCCCGGCTCACTACATGCGCCTGCCTTCCGAGTTCTCCGCCAAGGACGGCAAAGACCAGAAGGACCAGGACAAGGACGGGACGCAGGTGGGCGGGGGTCAGCAGCACCACCACCAGAAACAAGGCCAGCAGCAGCAGCAGGGTGGATCCCAGGGCGACGACTCCGAGGAGCCCAGCTGGGCGTCCGACTCTTCCGGCGGCGCCGTGACCATCCCCGTGCTCTTCAACGACTCCACCATGGCTCAGATGAAYGGGGAGCTGCAGGCTCTGACCGAGAAGAAGCTGCTGGAGCTGGGCGTCAAGCAGCACCCGCGGGCCTGGTTCATCTCCCTGGACGGGCGCGCCAACGCCCACGTCCGCCACTCCTACATCGACGTCAGCAATGACCTCAGCGGCGGCGGSGGGTTTGGAGGCAGCTCTGGCAGCGCCCAGCGAGACGTCAACCTCGAGCCGCCTCTCGAGTCCCAAGAGCGAAAACTGGCTGCCAACCGGAAGGGGAAAGACGAGCGCTGGGGGTCGGGGGGACGGAAGGGTCATGGTGTCGGCAGCGGCGGTGGAGGGGGGAAGAATTATTCCAAGCTGGCCTACCAGGACCACAGCGAGCCCAGCAGCAGCGAGGGACGCCCCGTGTCGCCCGAGGAGAACTCCCTCACCCCTCTTCTGGACGAAGGACCGTCTTCTCGCGGATCCACCGTCACCAGGARGGGGCGGAGCCGAGGAAACAGCAGCCGCAGCAGCAACAGCGAGAACCGCCGCGACTCCATGACCAGCCCCGAGGACGACCCCGACGACAAAGACGAGAACAAGAAGAGTCCGTGGCAGAAGATCGAAGACAGACCCCTCATGGTCTTTCACCCCAGGAAATAACGGTTCTGGACTTGCAGAACTCTGGACCTTTGACGGTCCGCTTCAAGAAGCGAAGAAGCTCAAAGAGAAAGATCCCAAAAAGCACAACCTCTGCTTCACCCGTTTCCTGGTTGTTGTCGAACCTTTTGTGGTGAGGTGCTTTCACTCATCGTCTCGCTGTCGGTTCTGGTTTCTGTAGAATCTGTCCCGTTTATTGTCCCGCCACTGAACTGTCGCCTGAGCCATCAAGTCTGCTGACTCTGGATATAGCCATTTTATAGAGCAGGATGTAAAATGGAGCACCTGTGGATGTTTTAATAACYGATTGATTGATGATTGTTTGACGTGAATGACTTTTTAAAGGGATTTATAAATCTGTAGCTGATAAAAAATCCCCCCCGTCTCTGCACTAATTTTACACAAACATTCACGTCTTTGTCACAAATTGTAATTAAAAACATTTTTTAAGGAAACATTTACTGAATCATAAAGTCGTGTCGTGAACAGATAGTTTCAGCTTCATCTTCCTCCCCCTGAATATAATCATCTCATCTTTTTTTCATTAAATTTATTACAACGATAAACAGTTCGGCCTGAGCTTCAGATTTCTGCCTTCCTCATATGAAATTTTCTGAGCCAGCAGAGACATCTTTGTGTAAATACGCCCGGACGTTTGTTATAAAAAGATTGCATGCATTTGAATGTATGAAATTAACAGAAGGCACCCAAAGCCCCGCCCCCCTCTCCTCCCGTCCAGTTCTACGGGCTGTCGACTCACCAAGTAAACCACTAATTTACTTGAAGATTCCCAGCTGAGATCCACGTGGTGGTTCGTAGACGGGGGCCGGTACCACTCCTTTCCTGTAAGTGCCTTCTTTCACGTAGGATCGAGTGACGGGCACGGCTTTTAAAATGCAGTTAGTCGTCACCTAAAGTCCAGCAGGCTCACCGAGAAGTTCACTGCATCCAACAACACGCCTGCCAAAAATGACAACTTTTCTTGTGGCTTTTTCCATCCTTGAATATATATATATATATAAACTTCTTGTATCTTTCCTCTTTTTCAGAAACCTTGTAAATGGCTAATTCTATAAGATTTGAGTGTATATGACGTGCATGTAACGTGTAGAATAGGGTGTTTTTATTTACATCTTTTTGCAAACGTTATTAAAGATATTTGGCACAAAACGTTCTTCACAGATGCACTGACTTGTGGTGCCAAATGGACTCTGTTATATAAACACAAGGAGTTAGCCCTGAAGGTGGTAGTTCATGTTTTTTAATGAGGATATGTGGAGTGGTTTGAACAGTCAGTATCTTACCTGCAGCAGATAGCAGTCAGAGGGATCTCAGTTTGGAGAGTTGGGAAGAAATTTTCATTTAGAAGTTGATCTGACTTCTAATCTGAAAGTTCAAAAATAAATGTTCTACAAAAACGGCTTAGTCCACTCTGAGTAGCTCTTAGCTTGACTTTAAGTAACAGTTAGCTTGAATCTGAGTAGCTGTTAGCTCAACCTTAAGTAGCTCCTAGTTTGATTTTAAGTTGCTCTTAGCTCAACACTGAGTATCTGTTAGCACAACTTTGAGTAACAGCTTGAATCTCAGTAGCCGATAGCTCAACTTTGAGTAGACGTTGAGTTGGTCTTAGCTAAATTCTGAGTAGCTGTTAGCTCAACTTTGGGTTACTCTTAGTTAGACTTTGAGTTGCTCTTAGGGACAATTCTGGGTAGCTGTTAGCTCAACTTTGATTAGCTCCTACTTTGACTTTGAGATGCTCTTAGTCTAACTGAGTAGCTGTTAGGTCAACTTTAAGTAGCTCCTAGTTTGACTTTAAGTTGCTCTTAGCTCAACACTGAGTTTATGTTAGCACAACTTTGAGTAACAGCTTGAATCTGAGTAGCCGATAGCTCAACTTTGAGTAGCTCTTAGACGTTGAGTTGGTCTTAGCTAAATTCTGAGTAGCTGTTAGCTCAACTTTGGGTTACTCTTAGTTAGACTTTGAGTTGCTCTTAGGTCAATTCTGAGTATCTGTTAGCTCAACTTTGAGTTGCTCTTAGGTCAATTCTGAGTAGCTGTTAGCTCAACTTTGAGTTGTTCTTGGGCCAATTCTGAGTAGCTGTTAGCTCAACTATGAGTAACAGTTGGCTTGAATCTGAGCAGCGGTTAGCTGAACTTTGACTAGCTCTTAGTTAGACTTTGAGTTGGTCTTAGCTCAATTCTGAGTAGCTGTTAGCTCAACTTTGGGTTACTCTTAGTTAGACTTTGAGTTGCTCTTAGGTCAATTCTGAGTATCGGTTAGCTCAACTTTGAGTTGCTCTTAGGTCAGTTATGAGTAGMTGTTAGCTCAACTTTGAGTTGTTCTTGGGCCAATTCTGAGTAGCTGTTAGCTCAACTTTGAGTAACAGTTGGCTCGAATCTGAGCAGCGGTTAGCTGAACTTTGACTAGCTCTTAGTTAGACTTTGAGTTGGTCTTAGCTCATTTCTGAGTAGCTGTTAGCTCAATTTTGGGTTACTCTTAGACTTTGAGTTGCTCTTAGGTCAATTCTGAGTATCTGTTAGCTCAACTTTGAGTTGCTTGTAGGTCAATTCTGAGTAGCTGTTATCTCAACTTTGAGTAACTCTTAGTCTTTGAGTTGCTCTTAGCTCAACACTGAGTAGCTTAGCTTGACTTTGAGTAACACAGTTTGAATCTGAGTAGCTSTTAGCTCAACTTTAAGTAGCTCTTAGTTTGACTCTGAGTTGGTCTTAGCTCAACACCGAGTATCTGTTAGCTCAACTCTGAAGAGCTTCTAGCTCAACCTTAACCAGCTATTTGATTTCCCTCTGGGATCAATAAAGTATTTTTGAATTTGAATTGAATTGATCAACTCTTAAGAGCTGTTTGCTCTATTTGAGTAGTATTTAACTTGACTCTGAAGACAGTAGCCATTAGCTCAACTCTGAGTAGCTGTTAGCTCAACTTTGAGTAACTTATAGCTCATCTTTGAACAGCTCTTAGCTTGACTCAGATTAGCTTCCAGCTCAAACTCAACTCTGAGTAACTAACTTGACTTTTCTGAAWCTTTGATTAACCGAACTGAAATCTCTTTGACACAAACTGGTAGTAAGATCCAGACTAAACTCCACACATCCATATTTCATAAAAACTGAGCTGCTTTATTCTTACTTTGATAAAAATGACTTCCGGTCATAAATGTTTACAATAATAACATACTGACCAACACGCTCTGCTGTTAGCATCACTGCCTACGAACACATCAGCGACTGTGAATTGAGAGAAAATTATGTTTTTCTGTTGTTTGTGTCAAAGTAATAAAATGTTTGGAATGTGTTTTTTTTATCATTCGCTTGCTGTTCATAACTCGCCTCCAGTACAAACTGAAAATGTGATTTGTATGAAATGTGAGGAATTGTCCACCCCTGTAAATGTAAAGTTTTAATGGACCAGTTATGAATTTTATTTGTCAAATTGTGGCTTTTCTGTTCTGTAATTTCCTTTTTTTTCCCCCCACAGTGTTTTTCTAAGCAGAACTTTATGATTCACACAGTGACAGGAACTATAGGAGACACTTTAAACCACTTGGTTGGGTTTTATTTGTGCTTATTGAGGACAGAACTGCAGGCGTCCATCTTGTGCTGTAAAATTACTTGCTTCATAAACCTGGTCAGTTGTTTGTGAACTGTACATTTTCTGTACTGTACATGAAACAAAATAGAAATAAATTTGTTCTCACAGTCTGTCGGGTGTTTTGAAACGCTTCTTTGAAAAACAAAGCAAAATTAGGTTTTCCATGACAGAGCATATAGAAATATTAGAAAATTATGTGGATTCGGTGCTTTTGTTGGGTCCTTATGACTGAACCTAAATGTATTTATTTTTATTTAAACTGTTTTTTCATTAGTTTAGTAATTAACAAATAAATGTTGTTGGGTTAGAAGCACCAAATGCCTTTATTAGCTAAACTAACGCTAACAAAAATGATGGGAAAATAAGTAAAATAGCTTCAGCTGCTTGTTTATTCAGGTGTACTGTCCTTTTAAGAACTCAATATGGCGCCTGGTCACATGCGACCGTGTCATGTGATCAGTCAATGTTTTCCCTTTGTGCACAGAGCGTCTGTAAACATGCTGTAAAGTAAATTTACGTGCAGATAAAAATCTCTTTGAGCGTTTCTGTAATAGGCACAGGAGGTAAGAACATTTATTTTTTCTTCGCCGAGAAACCGTCATTCAAAGTTAGCCTAACTGCTAGCTAGCATGCTAATTTGAATCAGTTTGTTTGGATTACGGAAGCGAACGGTAGCTAGCATGCTAGGCTAAATTAGTTTAAATATATTATGAAAGCTAACGTTGGCTAGCATGCTATTTTCAGGCTTAGATTTTCGAAAAGTTATTTTTACTGTCAAGGGATATTTATCTTGAAATATTTCCGAGCATACCTTCAATATCAAGGCTATAAATGTAGTTTATGTTTGTTTTCTTTAGGTTTGGGGAGTATGCAACGCTGTGCTCATCATTGATAACGTCTTAAGCTAACGAAATAATGATGGTAAAGAAAAAGCACAACTGGACGAAAATTTTGATGTTAACATTTACATGTGAAAGTAGTTTAATAATCTTTAATCACATGTTTAAATGTTTTCATGTGTCACACTTGAACATTGTAAATATATGCAAACACACAATTACCTGTTAGATYAATTCTCGAGATTTTTTTTAGATTCGAACAAACATGCAGAATTAATTACAGTGAGTTTATAAGACTTAAGAACAATAAACAATGTAATTAATAAATAATAAATGTTAAACGTGAATCATCCCAAAAGTTGTTTTTGATGAGGAAATCCTCTTTACAAAACTCTCAGAGGTTTATGTTGTGTAAGAACGGTGATGAAACCGTTTCAGCTGCTGACTGATCTGTTTCCTGCTCGTCGTGTTCAGGCTCTGCAGATGAGGGTTTTATTGTTTCTGGTTCTGCTGGGCCTGGGCTCAGCCCTGGTCTGTCCTGATGGAGGCCTGTGTGGAGACGAGGACACCTGCTGCAAGAACATGGAGGAGGGATACGCCTGCTGCCCACTGCCACATGTGAGCCACCCGCCTGGGAATTATCCGTTTCTGCCTCTTCTTAGCAAAAATATGTCACGAAACACTGATCAGTAAGAATGTGGATTTAATAACTTGTTTAAATAGATACATGCTAAAATGTACTGGGTTAGCTGCTGATTTTAGGCACAAAAATGCTCATCAACCATTTTGACAGSACTCCTCCTGTTTGGTTTCAGCTGGTTTAAACCTGATTTGTGTCCCTCTGCAGGCAGAGTGCTGTTCGGACCACCTCCACTGCTGCTATGAGGGGACGGTGTGTGATCTAGTTCATCAGAAATGTGTGAATAAAACCGTTTCTCTGCCCTGGAGGAAGCGACTCGCAGCCCGCCCCGCCCCTCTCCTTTCTCAGGTAAACACAAACCTGTTTCCTGTCTTGTCAGACATTTTGGAGTGGTTTATGTGAACTTCAGACTCTTGACAGGCAGTAAATATCACCCTGAAACTATAATAATCTGTGTTTTCAGTCTGAAAACAGGATTTATAAAGTGGGTTTTAGCTATAAAAATTGTATTGTATTCATCTGCATTGATTACATAGTTTTTTTAATCCATGTTTGTGTTGGTCCGTGGTGTTTGTCAGGTCCAGCTGGGTGTTCGGGCCGTGATGTGTCCGGATCAGCAGTCTGAATGTCCTGACGACACCACCTGCTGCCAGCTTCCTGACAGCTCCTGGGGCTGCTGCCCGTTAGCGAAGGTCCCTCATGTTCTGTAAAACATCCTTTAGCTCAGCGTGCACTCCTGTTCTGTTCCTCTGCTGCACGATGAGTCGTTTCTGAAACCGATCAGAACCRGTCTGATCCAAGACTCCAGCTGAGAAGGATTAACTGGTTTAATTCAGATATTTTGAAAACGAACAGATTAAAACAAAAACAGGTTATTAGTATCAAGATTTAAAAAGTCCAGATG